ATAAAAGAAGTCCACACGGCTCCGGGGGGTTAACAAAGGCCTTCTGAAGCGACGCGATGAGTTTGTGTAAGAAAAATGTCCATATTTACAACTTTATAAACCTTAATCTATAACTTCCGCTAACTGTCGTACGCACATTCACGAGAGAGTGGTGTCCAGCGGATGACGTAGGCATAAACTCCGGTGAGAATATGCGAGTCTCACGAGAAACAAGTTTTGTTTACAGCAAAGGAAAACCAGTGTCCTCTTGGCTTATATTGAAATCCTCCAACATTTTTCTTTACAAATCCTCATTTTTATACACCTAGGATGGCTTGAGGCTGAGTAAATCATGGAGTAATTTTCATTTTTGGGTGAACTATCCCTTAAAATTGGATTTTATACAACAGTTCAGTAAATATGAAGTTGATATTGTGTTATATTTTCAACACAACATTATGTGTTTTTGCTCAATTTTGGAGAGAACATACTACCTTTGAAGCCGCAGCAGAACTGTTGCGCGTCTCCGTGCAAAAAACAGCGGTTTCATTCCTGAATGAATCAGCCATTTGAACTTAACAAATGAATGAATGAATGACTCGTAACGACATTTACTGCCGCCACCTGCTGGCAGATTTAGTTTCTTATTTAGAGTATAATTTCATAAAAAATAAATAATAATAAAAACATTAAAGGGATAGTTCACCCAAAAAAATTTCAATTCTGTCATCATTTACTCACTCTCATGCCGTTTCAAACCTTTCTTTTGTGGAACATAAAAGAAGGTATTTTGAAGATGGTTGGTATAAAGCTGTTTTGGTTACCAATTACTTTTACTGTATGAACAAAAAATACTGAGATGTTTCTCAAATTATCTTCTTTTATGTTCCATAGTTTACGTTGCAGCAGTTGCAGTCGAAATGTTTATGTGTATTACATATTATGTTGAATCAAATAAAATATTTCTTTCTAAAGCTACGATTTGTAATGTCTACTTGATACTTTCTCATTTAACACACAAAAAAAGCTTTAAATAATCTAAATGTGGGTATTTTCACAGTCAAATTTATTTTGCGATTAATTAATCGAAACGTAATTAATTAGATAAAAAATTTTAATCGACTGACAGTCGATTATATATATACAGATACAGGGTTTCTGTTGTTTGATATAATTCAATTCAGATTTAAATGTTACTTTTCTAAATAAATAAATACTCCCACTTATGGTTTCCAGTTTAAATTAAAAAAATAAATAAATTGTCTGCGCTTTGAGTTTAAGTTTTTTTTTTTTTTTTTGTCTTACACAGTGCAAATTATATCCTACCGGATTTAACTTCAAAATAAACTTGACAATACATTTCCCATGTAATGATGAGCAATATGTCCTGTCCTGTTCACTTGTGTTACCCGACAGGTTTATCGAGGAGTGAAACGGCATCAGTGCTACCCTCCACTGTGGCGCCGCTGGGTGTTGTTCCTGCTTCCAGGCATCGTATCTGCATTGATTGGTGTGTGCGTGTACGTCTTCGCTCAGACCGACATCAACTACTACTACACTCATTCCATATGGCATGTCATGGTGGCCACGAGCGTGGTCTTCCTCTTACCACCCCGCGAAAAACACGTTCCCCCCTGGGGCTGGACCAACAAAATCTGTAGCTACAGGAGATGTAAAAATGAGAAAGTAGAGCTTTACACTGTCACCTAAATACACTGCTATTGATATTTGCACAAACTGTGCATTTTAACACTTTTACAAACATTAGTGGTTAGCTTTAAGAAACACGTCAAGCTTTATCTGAAAGATTTTCCTCTGTACACACACTAATAACTACTTAAAGGAATAGTTTACCCTAAAAATGTCATTTTTACTGTCCTTCTAAACCCATAAACCAAATCAATGGAACACAACAGGAGATTCTTGACAATTCATAATCAAGTGAAGATTATCAGTGAATAACAAACTTGTTTTGCTTCCCACACAAAGCTATTGTATGACTTCAGAAGGCTTGGAATATAGTGCATTAGTCATGTAGACTACATTTATGGTGCTTTTTGATGAATAAAAACGTCTCCTTTTGTGTTTCATGGGGAAAAAATAACCGCTTACAGGTTTGAATGACATGAGGGTGAGTAAATAATGCCATAATTTTCATTTTTGAATGAACTATTCCTTTAAACAGGATACATTTACACTTTTTAACTTTTCAAATGAGTGATTTCACAGAGAACAACAGCAATGTCAATTATTTTAAGAACGAAAACGCACAAAAGGCAACTTAGTGAATGTCATTTGACCCAGTTTAATTTATCAGAGAATCAATTTATCAGTTAATTACACTGCATTTGTCATGTTCTTTGTGGACAAATGTCATTTTTTTTATCTCTTTTGAGAAAAACACTACTGATTTCTAGGTTTATTCAGCACTTTTTTCAGTTGATTTTTATGAGCAGCACCACATTGAATCTGCACCCACAGAACTGGGATTGTTTCTGCAGAAATTATTATTTTTTTTAAATAACACATTTAACTATAGTTAAATACTTTTCACAGAATTCTGTAGATTTTCTTTCAAAATCAGCACAGAAAATTTGAAAAAATAAGGAAATTGCAGATTCTGTCTGGACATACTTATGACGTTGAGGATCGTGTTGGGCATTTTCATTACTGTTGTCTGTGTCTCTGAACTATTGTTTGCTTACACTGGAGAACAGGTGCAATAGTTCCTCCTTTAATAGCCAAAATTGTTTTACACTATTATTTATACCACTGTCAGGAATGTACAAGAAATGACCTCCCTTCTTCCTCCCTAAAAGCCTTGAAATTTTTCGTGAGATGTTGTTCTTACGTTTCCGAGGGGAAGAACTTCTTAAACTCGCTTAAAATTGTGTTTGCTTGAGCCAGAATGTGAAATTATGCTTGTATGCCATTATGAATGGCTGTGTCTCCTTCATAGGTTAAAGGTGTGTGTGTGTGTGTGTGTGTGTGTGTGTGTGTGTGTGTGTGTTTGTAGTGGGTATCTGATGTATTTAAGATCAACTTCTGTATTGGTCAAGGCTTTACATAGATATGCATAATGCTGTACTTCTGAACCCTCAGGCTAGTTTAAACTTGAAGAGGCATCTGTGGATGTCCTTTTAAGATTTACATTTACATAGCAGCTGTCCTTTAAAGATCAAATGGATGTAAATCAGTGTCACGGTTTTCCATTTAATGTGATTCATGTCCTTTTTTTTCCCCCAGAGGAGGTAATTAGGGTTGGAATATTATACAGATGTTTTACAATGTTTTATATTCATTTTGTATTGGAATTGATATTGAAAAGAAATATGAGCTAAACTAAGATATAATAGTTTCATTTGTAAATCTGTGAATCCCAAAACCTTTTCTTCTTTCTTGTGGGATTTAGTTTTGATTTAATATCGCTTATCATGACAATCCTTGTTCTTCTTTGTGTCCATTGGTAGGCCTTGTAAATTGCACAAATATGCACTTGTGTTTGGGGTTGAGAATGAGGCAGTGCAGTCACAGAGATTATGTTTAATGTTAATGTTTTTTTATTGTTGTTTTTAGTCATTTTGATTTGTGCTCTTGATTCCTGTCTCCTTTTTTCCTAAAATGATCTGTAATATATATGCCAATAAATGGAAAAAATAAATAATTCAATGATTATTTAAAACTGGCTTCTTAGTCTTGGTAGATATTTTTAGATGTACTGTCCATTCAAGTATTCACTGAAGCACTGTTATAATATGTGATGTAAATATATGTCAATAAACTGTGACAATAGTACATTTATAGCAGAAATTAAAAACTTTATATCAAATAAATACATTAAAAACATGACAAATGTGTGAAAAAGGCAAGTTACACTTAAAACACTGAAGAAAACATTCGTTGAACAGTTGAAAGTTGGTAATATATATATCTGATGTCTTACGGCATTATTGCTACATCATAAACAGTATCTTTGAAATGCATGAAAAGCTGTATTTCTACATATCATATAGAGAAATGTGAACAGAGGAATCAAGCATTCTTATTAGGCTATATAATGACCTTTAGTTATAACATCTGTTTTGTAGAGCACAACAGGAAGCAATGGAGATGCCACTTACAGCTGTGTTAGGTAACATAATAGCACAAAATAAAAACAAGCAGTAAATATTGTGTGCATGTTTAAAGCCGGGATGCTGTTCCGGAATTAGAGTTAGAGTTCTTTGCCTTCCCATCATCCTCTGCGGTTTGGGTGGCAAGGGCAGGCGAGGGGCTGGAGTGACGCTGACGACGCATGAACGGGAAAACACTGGACATACAGACAAACACTGATAAGACATCTCTTCCTCTGCAGACTGAGCAAAATGGGTTGTATCTGTCTTAGGCTTTTACCTTTTCTTGGTCTCCTGTGGTACTATGGCTCTGGCTAATAAGTTCTTGTAGAGTTCAGATTTGAGATAACGAGGGTATGAATCCTACAAAGAAACACAAAAGACATTTATTGAACTTTGGCAAGAATATTCCAATCCTTTTCGCATCTTTTCACATCATAAGAGCTTTGTTTATAATATTAATATCCATATTCAAGTGACCCATGTTCATTTACACCCTGTCAATCACTTTGGAAGTCTTCACTTCTTCAGTTTAAAAGTTTGGGTCATTATGATTTAAAAAAAAGTTTTATTCAGTAAGGATGCATTAAACTGATCAAAAGTGGCATAATTGTTCTTTTTTACATAATTACAAAAATGTGTATTTTAACTAAACGCTGTTGTTTTAAGAATATTTCACGGTTTCCCCAAAAATATTAAGCAGAACAACTGTTTTTAACACTGATAATAATAGGAAATGTTTCTTGAGCACTATTAGAATGATTTCTAAAGGATCATGTGACACTGAAGACTGGAGTAATGATGCTGAAAATTCAGCGTTGACACCACAAGAATAAATTACTTTAAAAATATGTACAAATACAAAATAAGAGTTATTCTAAATTGTAATAATATTTCACAATATTATTGTATTTACTGTTTTTTTGATCAAATAAATGTAGCCTTGGGGTGCACAAGAGATGAGTCTTACCAAATCTTTAAAAAAATATATCATCAACCCCAACTATATATTTATCCACATTCTGCATTTGATCAAAGAGCTGAACATTATACCTTTTTCATGAGGAAGTAAATGTGCATTTGAGCATCATCAAAGACAAAACGATGAGGGCGCTTGAGTCCTTCCAGTGTCTTTTCCATAGTCTTGCTGTCAATATTGACCCAGCGACTTGCACCAGGAGCCAGGAACTGTCTGATAGATTATAATGGAGATCAGTTACAAGGTTCAACAAAAAAATCACATGAATAAGAGACAAATTAGAGGTGATGAGAGACTTTCATTCATATGGCACACTGATTAAGTATATACGGTATAGTACATACTTACTGATTTAGTATATATAGATTTATTTTTGTGATGGCAAAGCTAATATTTTTGGGAAGCCATGGTACATTTTTTGATGAACAGAAAGTTCAAAAGAACAGCATATTTAAAATATACATATTTTTAACCATATAAATGTCTTTAAAATTGTTGCATGGATAAAATATTAAGGTCATACTTGTAAACCTCATCCACTTTCCCTGGAATTTTTGCAGTCTCGCCGTGACGAACGTCTTCACAGGCTTGCCAGAAACACAAGTTCTCCGCTGATAACACGAGAGAAACCAAGAAGGGGAACAAGAGAGAAGCACCCAAAAAAGGGGACAAAAGAAGATGATGAGAGAGAGAACGGGGGAGAGAGAAACATGAAAAGTTGTTACATTATTCATATATACAGAGTGTGCAGCAGGATAAAAATGGAATCTATTAAAGCTCTGAAAGTACAGAAGGGAACGACAGTTTTGGGACGCTCTTCAGAACTGGGTTAAAATAAAAGATGTTTATATAAAGAGGGATTCAAACAAAAACAAAAATATTGCAAAAATACCACAGTGATACCATGATTTTGGAAAATTCCATTTGATGTGAATACAATTTATAAATGTAGATTATCATTTAGTACTAGAGACCAGTGGATATTGATTTAATACAACCGATATACAACCGTACCAAATCATTTTTTGTTTAAGTTTCTGATACGCAGAACTGATTTTGAAACAATTTAATTCTAGTAACTAAATGATTCATCACCAGCCAAAGATGAATAGTCTGCTACAATGATTTCAATTAAAGGGGTCATATGATGTTGCTAAAAAGAACATTATTTTGTGAAAAATGTGTTTGTGGTTTAAGGTTAAAAAACACATTATTTTCCACATACTGTACATTATTGTTTCTCCTCTATGCTCCGCCTTTCTGAAACGTGTCGATTTTTACAAAGCTCATCGGTCTGAAAAGCGAGGTGTGCTCTGATTGGCCAGCTATCCAGAGAGAAAGGAAAAATTGAAATCGCATCATATGACCCCTTTAACATGTATATTTATTATAATTAACACTTGTCCAAAGCTGCTTAAAGTAATGCAACTAAAATGAAAAAGAACAAGTCTTTTGCAATCTAAGATTTTGCACAATTTTGCTCACTATGCTAGTTTATCTTTGGTTTGTTTTGAAATGAAATATATTTAAAATGTTACAAAAGATGTGTACCTGAAGACTGGAGTAATGATGGTAAAAATTCAGCTTTGCATCACAGAAATAAATTACATTTGAAAATATATTCAAATAGAAAACAGTGATTTTAAATTGTAAAAATATTTCACAATATTACTGATTTTACTACTGTATTTTTGATCACATAATTGCAGCCTGAGAGAGCATAAGAGACTTCTTTCAAAAACATTTAAAATAAAAAAACCCTACACTTTTGAACAGTATTGTAAACATGAGTGGCTGTTATGTAAAAAGTCAAATATTATAATTGCAAACATTAGCTGTAAACACAGTTGTTAGCATTGTTGGGTGTTATTCTATATAGCCCAACCAGATGGCGCCATTTATTAGTAAACCAAATATTGAACTGATTAAAGCAGCACTATGTAACTTTTGGCGCTCTAGCGGTTAATAAACAGAACTGCACACATCCCGCGGAAGAACATTCCAACCGGAGCTACTTCTCTAAGTTTATGTCTATGGCGAATCACGCAGGTATGTGTTACTCCGCAGCGGTGACGACCCGACAATAGTCCAAATATAAGTACTTATTATAAGTGTACCGTAGTGATTCGGAATAAGACAAAAAACGCGGTTTGGAAGATGAATTCATGATGTACTCGCTCATTATATACATTTTGCAAATTTTGAAAACAGAAAAAGTTACATAGTGCTGCTTTAAGTATTGGTCAAACCAATTATTATTCAGTAGCCTACTTCAGTACACTATATGTCTATGTACTATGTTACTACTATCTGGTGCTATAACTATACTATGGTAACAACACAGTACTGTTTGTAAGGGTTATGAATACAATATCATGAATAACATTTTTGTGTGTGTACCGCTGAATTCTTTCTCCAAATACGTGAGAAACTCTTTTCTTCCCATTAGGTCGTTGAGCAGCTCCATGAAGCTAAAGCTCCAGCACTCCACACGCAGTTTAGTCGGCAAAGCAACTCTATTTCAGGAAAACGTAGATATGCAGAGCAATTACTGACCCTCGGACAGAACATTAGTGTACTTCTGTTTAAAATGGTTATTCATGTGTGATCATGTGACTCACGTTTCAGAGTTCATGTTCCAAAACATGATATCATCTGTGATCCAGGGGTTGCTGGGAAGACATCCTTGCATTATGGGGTCATGGGGCTGGTACTGCTCACAGTACTTAACGTAACTGCGCGCACGCACACACACACACACACACACACACACACACACACACACACAGAGACATACAATTTTAATGATTTTCTCTGGTTTTTTTTGGTAAAAATAATAGTTTTTTTTTTTTTTTAATGTCTCTTTTAGTCACGATAGTCACGAATATTTGATCAAAAAAATCCACAACAGTGGAATATGGTCACAATAGAAAATAACTTTTCTAACTTTTCTATTCTTAGAATGTAATTTATTAATTTGAATTTTCAGCAGTCATATGCATGTATATATATATATATATATATATATATATATGCTTTGGTTTGTTTTGAAATGAAATATATTTAAAATGTTACAAAAGATGTGTACCTGAAGACTGGAGTAATGATGGTAAAAATTCAGCTTTGCATCACAGAAATAAATTACATTTGAAAATATATTCAAATAGAAAACAGTGATTTTAAATTGTAAAAATATTTCACAATATTACTGATTTTACTACTGTATTTTTGATCACATAATTGCAGCCTGAGAGAGCATAAGAGACTTCTTTCAAAAACATTTAAAATAAAAAAACCCTACACTTTTGAACAGTATTGTAAACATGAGTGGCTGTTATGTAAAAAGTCAAATATTATAATTGCAAACATTAGCTGTAAACACAGTTGTTAGCATTGTTGGGTGTTATTCTATATAGCCCAACCAGATGGCGCCATTTATTAGTAAACCAAATATTGAACTGATTAAAGCAGCACTATGTAACTTTTGGCGCTCTAGCGGTTAATAAACAGAACTGCACACATCCCGCGGAAGAACATTCCAACCGGAGCTACTTCTCTAAGTTTATGTCTATGGCGAATCACGCAGGTATGTGTTACTCCGCAGCGGTGACGACCCGACAATAGTCCAAATATAAGTACTTATTATAAGTGTACCGTAGTGATTCGGAATAAGACAAAAAACGCGGTTTGGAAGATGAATTCATGATGTACTCGCTCATTATATACATTTTGCAAATTTTGAAAACAGAAAAAGTTACATAGTGCTGCTTTAAGTATTGGTCAAACCAATTATTATTCAGTAGCCTACTTCAGTACACTATATGTCTATGTACTATGTTACTACTATCTGGTGCTATAACTATACTATGGTAACAACACAGTACTGTTTGTAAGGGTTATGAATACAATATCATGAATAACATTTTTGTGTGTGTACCGCTGAATTCTTTCTCCAAATACGTGAGAAACTCTTTTCTTCCCATTAGGTCGTTGAGCAGCTCCATGAAGCTAAAGCTCCAGCACTCCACACGCAGTTTAGTCGGCAAAGCAACTCTATTTCAGGAAAACGTAGATATGCAGAGCAATTACTGACCCTCGGACAGAACATTAGTGTACTTCTGTTTAAAATGGTTATTCATGTGTGATCATGTGACTCACGTTTCAGAGTTCATGTTCCAAAACATGATATCATCTGTGATCCAGGGGTTGCTGGGAAGACATCCTTGCATTATGGGGTCATGGGGCTGGTACTGCTCACAGTACTTAACGTAACTGCGCGCACGCACACACACACACACACACACACACACACACACACACACACAGAGACATGTAAGGCCATCACAAAGGGTTATGGTAAGAGTTCTTTTTAAAAGATACTTTTAGGACAGTCCATTAGCTCTAGCCTGGAGTCTTAGACTTCGGCAGAGTACACACACACACACACACGCACACACACACACACACACACACGCACGCACACAGAGTACCTCTCAAGGCAAATGGAGGACTTTACACGATTCCTCGCCAGGCTTATCCTGTTATTTTCAATCTAAGTCGTTTACCATAAAAACACAAAAACAAGCATGACAAGAAGTAAATCTGGTTATATTTCACAGTACAGTATGTGCTGCATAAGTAAAGAATGATGTATAGACAGCTAACTAATTTTTTTGCAAAGAAATATTATCATTACAGATATTAGAATAATTTAGTTTTAATGATTTTCTCTGGTTTTTTTTGGTAAAAATAATAGTTTTTTTTTTTTTTTAATGTCTCTTTTAGTCACGAAGGCTACATTTATTTGATCAAAAAAATCCACAACAGTGGAATATGGTCACAATAGAAAATAACTTTTCTATTTGAATATATCTTAGAATGTAATTTATTAATTTGAATTTTCAGCAGTCATATGCATGTATATATATATATATATATATATATATGTTGTCTCTGTTGTCAGAGTCCTTGTGCAAACTAAAAAATTATTACAATTAATGGAAAAATGAATGTTTGGAAATGTAAACTGATATTTCCTACTGACACACTACAGCAAAAGATAGAAATAACTGACTTAAAACCATTTTTTTTCCTACTGACAGCAAAAGATAGAAATAACTGACTTAAAACCATTTTTTAGCTGGTGAAAATACTAATAACTAATAACTTCTAATAATTTTGGCCACCACTGTATGGTTTTAAGACAGTTAAACCTGCCATTCAAATTACTCACCTCTTTTTTGTAGAATTCTGCATTCTTTTCTGAAATGTACAATGACAAAATATCATCAAAATATATTAGCTTTCTTAAAAAAGTTGCTATTAAAACTAAACTAAATCACTGAACTTTGCAATGGAATGAAATGACAGCAGGAAATGAGTCAGTGTTTTAGAGATTACTTACTTCAACAAGGATGCATGATAAAAAACAGAAATAAAGAGAAAAAAGCTATAGATGATGCTTGAACATGAGAGATTCTGCTGTGAATGTTTGTTCATATATTTTTGAAACGTGCCGTGTCTGTGTGTATGTGGATTATGTGTTGTTGTGCATGGGGTTAGTTGTGTTGTGGTGGTCTGTTTACTGACCAGCTGCACTCGTGTGTTCATGGTTCTTCTTTCCGGTCCATGATCTATACTGTCCAGTGTACCGGGCTGAAAATGTGGTTATAAAGAGATATATGGATCAATGACAAAATAAGATGTTTATGATCAAACGCATGCGCCAAGCCCTTAGAAATGTGATCTCTGTATTCATGTTGGTATCTTTTGAATTGTATACCATTTCACAAAAGCTTTTACTCTTAATATCAATTGCTGTAACATAAATAAATAATAATAATAAAATATTTTTAAAACGTGGAGTAGCATAAACATCTTAATCTTTATTTTCAAATATATTTTTTCATAACAGTATTTTATTATATCAGTATATTTCTTAATTATAAATATAACATTTTCATGATGTTTTTTTTTAAGGTTATGTTTTCATAAAAAACTTAAACTAACCCTGCCACTTGCTGGGCTTTAAAGAGGTCCTCCTTTCTGTGATATCACGTCCTGTTTTATAGCATCATCACATAACAATAAAACGACTTCCTATACCACTGTAAAAAATGACTTTTTGAAGTTTTAAAGATTATTGGAATATGTTTTATAAGACAACACTATTTCAGTCTTTCTACTTCAAAATTCCATGTTTAAATCAATGTGCTACTTGTCATTTTTGTGTAAATATTGGTGAAAATTAATAGCAATTTCTGACTAAAAAATTGTTTCAAAACCCTACAATTTTGTTTTTCAGTGTGGCGGAAAAAAATCTGAGAACAAATACACCACCTTAACATTTTGATTTTCTCCCCAAAAGAAATGATTCAAATATATTTTTACTCGAAATTCATAAAAGTCAAAACATGTTCATCATAGAAGATATATACGTCATTGTCCATATAATTTATTATAAATATATTTTAAAAATATTGTGAGCCTTGTTTTTACAGGCTTTCAAACTAACCCAAATCCCAGTAATGTCTGGCAGGTGGATTTACAACATTTTCACAGAAGCAGAACACCACACACACACACACACACACACACACACACACACACCCACACACACACATAC